TTACCGGAGGAGTACAGATCGTTTGTGGAACGTTCAAAGGAGAAAGATCTTCTGAGAAAAGAAGCACAAGAAGCAGCTGCCAAGCATGAGGAAAAGCTAGAGAGGATGAAGCTGGACCACGAGAAGGATATGTGGCACCTAAAGCTTGAATTCCGTATCCAGGTCGATGGTCTCATGCGGGAGAAGAAAGAGCTTCAGTCTACGATTCACGCTTGCGGCAAGCTGTTTGGAGAAATGCGCGACGAGCATAAGACCGAGATCGAGACACTCACCCACACGATGGAGCGACTTCAGAGTGAAGTGAATGCCAAGGCCAAGGAGCTCAAGGTCATGTATGACGCGCACGATTCTCTGGTCAAGAAACTCGAGGACGAGAGGGCGGAGTTACCGAAGAAGCTGGCCGACGCTGCGAAGCATGCGCTTGCTCTCCAGTCCAACGCACTCAAGTCATCTGACAACGCCGTTGTTGCAAAAGGCCTTGCGTTAGTACACGACAGCCCTTACTACTTACATGGCTAATTCTGTTTAGATCCGTTCCTGCGCACCTCAAAGGCAAATCTGAACGCTTCGCACACTGCACCCAGTGCATGCGACACAACTGGGACTGCGACCGCGGGATTCTATGCAAGAACTGCTCGATGCGAGGCATCAAGAAAGGTTGCAGGCGAGTTGCGTGCGAAGACTACAAGAAGGGCATATGCAAGAACAAACAGTGCCGCTTTGCACATGAAGGAGAGATATACAAGCGCCTCGATCCTTCCGAAGATGTATGGGGTGATGGGCGTGAGCTGAGTCCTGTCGAGCTCGACAAGATGGGTGTTTGGTAGACGGACGATAGCTCGCTAGTACTACATAGCATGAGAAACGTCGAGAGAGATGTGAGATAACACAGTATTGGGAATACAATATACAATTTGAGCTGTGTTACATGACAGGAAAGATGGCTTTGGAGGCGACAAGTGATTTTCGGTTGATGGAAATGATCCTGCGCATGAGTTGTCACGTCCTGGGTATCATTGCACACCTACATTTAGCGAGGTTGGCAACAATGTATCCAAGTACATCTAGGGCGTCAACGCTCTCGGTTCTACAGCAAAGAGCTTGTTGAACATGTTCTGTGGGTCGTACTTGGCCTTCAGATCTTGCAAACGTTCGTAGTTGTTGCCAAAGACGTCTCTGGACTTCTCTTCGTACTCTATTTCGGCGTTAGCATACCGTTGCATAACAATATCTTTCCCGTATGCGCGTTATATGAGTGAGGAGTGCACGCTTTGGAGAGTACTTACGGTCGTAGTTCCCATATACCATTGTCGCACCATGACTGCCCCTCTTGCCAATCCACCCATCGTTGCTCGCGCCTGCCTCAGCGCCGCCACGTTGAAGTTCGTTCTTGAACAGAAGCGCGACATCCCTCGACCACTGCCTACATTTCTGATCGTTACCTTGATCCCACCACAATGGAGCAACTGCCGCGTTGAAGTGTCTTCCGCGGTTCGCAAAGGCCATGTCAGAGTTGGTAACTTCAACAATCTTCGTCGGGTCTAGCAGCTCCCACATAACCTGGGAGCCGACTGCATCGGACGTCTCGTCAGTAAATTTGGCGTACGCCTCCAAGACGGATACCACGAAGTCGCCACGGACAGGAAGCTCGAATCCAGCGCCCTTGATAGAGACACGCGCACCGATGGGTAGATCCATGAGTTTGTTTGCCTTGGCGTACGGCATCATTGCCATGGTACTCATCAAAGGTTCCAACCCAACGATATCCTTGAATAGCTCTTTGCCATCTTCTTCCGAGCCATGGTAGATCGCGGCTACGAAGAACAGGACCTGGCCACCAGCAGGTGGAGGCCTGACGAAACCGAAAGCACTCGCTGCTTTCCCCGCAGCTTTTGAATCGCCATCTGCGTTCGGCGTGAAGATATTGTTACATGCTTCGACGGCTTTCTTGATGATATCTGGCGTTGGTGGAAACATCATGAAGCCAGCCCACAGATCGCCTGTCTCATGGGTGCGGAATACAAACTCAATGCCGACACCAAAGTTCTGTCCCGCGCCGCGCAGAGCCCAGAATAGGTCTGGGTTCTCATCGGTAGAGGCTTTGACGATACTGCCGTCCGCCAACACGACAGTACATGAAATGAGATTGTCGACAACCAGTCCGTGTTTGACTGTGAGCCAGCCAAAGCCGCCACCGAACGTGAGACCACCGACGCCGGTATCTGAGACGGTGCCACCAACTGCTGCAAGACCGTACGGTGCAAGATCTTCATCGACATCACCCCAGACGGCACCTCCGCCGACTTTGATCGTTCTTCCCTCGACGTCGACGTCGGTAGTACGCATGTGTGTGTTCAAGTCGATAAGTAGTCCGCCATCCGTTGATGATGCGCCAGCAGTCGAGTGACCACCTCCTTTGACGGCGAGATCAAGATTGTGTTCGGAAGCATACTTGAGGGTGATCGAGATTGCTTCTGCCGACTTGGGGATTAGGCATGCTCCCGCTGGCTTCACAGCAGCGCTTGACCATCGGTGAATGGATTTTGTGTATGCCTCAGTTTCCTTCGGTGTCACTAACTGGGCGTCTGTATCTCTCAGCAATTCGCGAAGTTCTGCGATGTCTGCTTCGTTAATCGGGCGTTTGGTAGCCATCGCGCAAAGAGTAGTATAGTGACTAGTGAAAGGGACGAAGGACAAATGTTATGATGGATACTTGTACATATAGGGCTTCGAGCGCTTGGTCCAAACTTGAGTAGACGAAGACGTGACGAAGCGGGGTCTATATTGGGGCGTAAGCTTACCACGCCGTTGACCGTCAGCAACGTAGGAACATGGCGAATAGCTGTCACCGATACCTCGGCAGAGGTAAGGCCTACCATCGCCAGCCGTGTTGACAGGGAGCTCGACTGTATAACTGATATCGGACTCACTGTTCATTGGAGACGCCATGCGGTTGTCGGAACCCACCCATGGCGATCAGCTCGACCGCATGCACACTACAGCCCGTAAGGTCCCAGTTCCGAACCCATTTTCGCACGGTGTCACTAGACTCTCGTCAAGATCTATCGTCGTCTTTGTTCTGGGCCTGGTATGGACGTCAGAACATGTGAGCTGGTCAAGCGCGTGGCGCTCGAATCTCGTATAGCTAATGCAGTTGTGCTGGACAGTGCCCAGGTGAACATTCATATGCTGACGGCCCAGGATAATGCGCTATGGTCAAACAGACGTCTTGGCCTCCTAACCCGTGATGCAGCGCTGTCCGTAGGCTCTGGGGTTGGCTGCATCAAGCATGGAGTCGGCGTTACGTTTTCGGTAACTCAACCAGAAACCATGATCTAGAGGTCGACGGATGAGAAAGAGGACGAAACAATCGGTTTAAGAGGGTGCGTACAAAGACCGCAGTTGATACTACGAAGCTGTCATGATGGGAAGGGTCCGTCGGAATGACGCGCATAGGGGAGTGGCGGGGAAGGGAAAGGGATCGGCAAACCTACCTAGGTAGTCAGCCTTGGCAGTCGCGTCCACGGGTCGCGTGTTGCGAGCTTCTTCTCACGTCCGACGTTCAATCCCATCCTGCATCCCTTCTATTTCCTGAGACACCATGCCTTCGCTCTCAATTTTCGCTATGTATCATGACTCACGGATTTCCCGACTGGCGGCACGCGAACAAATGCAATGCTCATGACGTCATGTTGTCAACGCACGCGAAGTCTGCCTCAAAGGCTGCACAGATCTCGAACGATATCGCACGCGGTCGAAGTATCATGGCCAAGATTATTGCGCAGGTCTTTTACTGTGCGCATGCATGTCATCTTGCGACATCGCGTTACGCGCTCAAAATCGCGTTGCGAGCCACGTCGGAGAGTATGTGACTCGATGCAAGCTCGGCTCTCACTTCTCGCAGGTGCTTCACACATCTTGATGGCGGAGACGAAAAGGGCTTTATTGGCCCCGGGTAGCAGGTCTTTGCACTTCGACCCTCGGAGCACGAGGCTTTCCTTCGTGTAGGCGTTCAGACGCTGAAGATGTCGTAATGGTAGCGGTACAGTTCAGGTGATGCTGGGTTCAATCCATTGCACAGCGCCGTGCACGCATGGTAGGGACTACTTCACAAAGTATTTGTTGTCCTCTTCTACTCCTCATGTCTCTTTCTGACAGAATCTGCTTACGAATGCTCTCTTGAGATCGTAAAGCTTGAAGTGGTTGGGTTATTTGCAGTCGTCTTCAGAAGGACATCAAGACAACTAACTATTCCAAATGCGAGAAAACACATGGCATTCTCGCACGTTTGACTTCATGTTGAGGAGATCGTGGCATTGTGAGTAGTGCACCTGGGGGGAATCTTCTCTCTAATTCAAGGTCACATGGCCGGCATTGCGAGGTCGTCATCGCCGCCAACATCCTGCTGCCTTCACCGGAACAGCTTTGCCTTGTTTACCATTACTGCGCGCTTACCTGGCTCGCATTTATAATTCAGATCCTCAACTGCAAGCTAACTTGTATGGCTGCTGCCCTCCGCGAGTCGCGATCTTGGACATTGTGCGCCGCCTAAATCCTCTGCCACCTTCGATTTTTCAACCACAGGACGGACCCATCGCTTCCGCGCACCACAACAACAACACAATCGATTTTCTCATTTTTGGTACTCCAACCAGCACCACAAAATTTCTCGCGACTCGACAGCGCAGCACATCTACAGCCGACCTCTGCCAATCCTAAGGCGAAGCCATCTTTAAGCAGCGCAGTCGCCTTCACCTTCACTGGACGCATTCAATCCGACACTCACTTCGACTTCCGCAACAAGATTGCGACTAGCGCCAAAATACCACCTCTACTCGCACTTTCCTGCACTATTTACCTACGTCTCACCTCGACCTTTGTCTACTCACCACAACACAATCCCACGATATCATCGCATCAGTCACACATTGCTACCCCGCGCGTTGATCGTGCATTTCCATTTCATACCGATTACCCGTACCCGAAACGCTCTTACTGTGATGGCGCCCTCGGCTCTCACCTCCCAAGGGAGCCCGTCGATCCCCGAACCCGCAAAGCCACAGCAACCCACTCCAGAAACGTCCCGGGAAGCTACCTCGCCCACGGTCTCACTTTCCGAAGAGAATTTCGCCCTTAAGCAGCGCCTTGCTCAGTCTGAACTAGCCAAGAAGCACCTTGTCGAAGAAGTCGCAGATGGAAAGCAAAGAGTCATCGATGCCGCGAAGCGTGCCACTGCCGCCGAGATCGAGGCGAAAGCAGCAAAGGCACGCGCCCAAAACCGCTATACAGAGAAGGTGCACGCCAACAACGAGAACCGTCATCTGAAGAAACGGATCGATACGATGGACAAGGAGCGTGCGGACTTCATTGTTGGTGTTAAAAGCATTCTTCAGGGTCGCGACGAGATGATAGCTAAGCTCGAGGAAGAGAAGGCTAGTGGAGAATGTTCTAAAGAAGAACTCATTGAGAAGTTCACAAAGCAGGTAGATGTCTTTCAACAGGGCTACCTCGCGTCTGAACGTGATAAGGAGAAGTTGAAACGTGAGAAAGAGAAGGAGAAACGTGAAAAAGAGCTGGAGAAAAAGGTGTCTGATAAGATCATTGGCCAGCTTAAATCCGACAGGGACACGCAGGGCAACGTCAACAAGGATCTGAAGAGCGTGATCGCACAATTACGACAAGAAATCGCCACGGAGAAAGAGAAATCGAAAGCCGCAGCCGATGCGTCGACCATGGACCAGATCGAGGCTCGCGTCGCTGCTGCCAAGGCTGATGGGTTCAAAGAAGCCACCATAGCAAAGCAGAGTGAGAACGCCGTATACCGAAAGACAATAGAAGAAAAGGCGACCGCACATGTCGCATGGATGAAGAAGGACATTGAGACGAAAGCGAAAGAGCACGTACAGAAAAGAGAGGCTGAATGGCGTTCAGAGCAGACTAGTCTCATACAGAGGGCTTCTGCAGCTGAAGCTGCGCTGAGTGCTGCCAATACCAAGCTTGCGATAGCCCAGCAACGGCCTATAGCAGCATCAGTATCGCACCCTGTGCCAAACGATGCTCAGAGGCCTCCCAAACGGAGCCAGCCGACTTCTTCGCAGGGAGCGTTCGACTCTAACAAGCGAAGGAAGCTTGACGCAGCTGGGTAAGTTCCACATTTTTTCTATGGATGAAGCTATCGCTAATACACACAGTGCTGCCGGTATCACTACACCAGACTTTCACCGTGCGCACTCGAACTCGCTTCCCTCCGACACAAATGCCATAAGCCCTTTGTCAGCCCCATGGACGAACGGTGATACCATGATGGGCGGCACACAAATGCAGAGGCAAGCTCGACATGTCGCACCGAATGGCATGCATGGACGAAGCTCGTCACAGCAGTCGACTGGCTCAGCAGGGCAGATGGCACCCGCCCGGCGTCCTTCGCAACAGCCTGGTGCCATGATGGCCGCGCCTCCAGGACGCACACCCAGCAACATGTCACCCCAGCAGCAGCGACACTTGATGCAGAACTTGGCTGCGGGTAACGCCGGCAGCCAATCACCTAGATTCCCTCAACATAACTTAGGCCTGATGCGCACATCTCCGCAGGTCGGTCGACAGATGGGAAGTGGTCAGCATATGACCAACCAGGCCGGAAACATGAACTCGTACGACGGGGACTTATCGATGCAACAGATGCAGCGAGATGCTCAGTCGCAAATCCGGTCACAGATGTCGACACCGGCGCATGGGTCTATGAGACGTACACCTTCGTACGGCTCAGCTTCTTCTGTGGCGTCGCCTCGACCTCACGTCGCGCAACACTCTTCGAGTCAATTTGCACCCCCAACTGGGCAAAACTGGAATATGAGGCAGAACTTTGAGCAGCAGAACTTATCAACAAATGGTACGAACCAGAGAGTGGCGGGAAACTACGCTCCCATCATGGAAGAGTTGGATTCGAATTTTACCTTCGATGTTAACGCACTTACGGGAGATGTTGGTGCTGCTTACGTTCGTTCTCAGCAAAACCTCGGAGACGCACATGATGTCAGCGATTGGTTTCCCACAGAAGATAACAACACTCAGACGGCCTTCAACTCGACTCTCCCTTCGAATGGAACGCCTCCGATGCACCAAGCCGACTTCCAGCAGCCTCAACAGCGCAGCTACCAAACCCATTCACGCAATCATTCACAACCGTACGAGAGTGGTTCAAGAGACATGTCTCACGGGTCCGAGAGCCTCCAGAATGAGCCTATCATGGAAATTAGCAGAAGCAGTTCACGCCAGCCTTCTGTTCCGGGACGAGCGACTCGAGCTTCTTCCCGCTCTACACCTGGACCTTCTGGACCTTCTGGACGATCGAGACGCAAGACACCAGGTCCGGCGGAGCCGACTCAAGTTCCATGTGTGAACTGCTACCGTCACTGGTGGGAAGGCGAATGCGACGAAGGCCAGCCATGCTCAAACTGTGTTGCATCAGGAACAAAATGTGTGCGGCAGAAATGCATTAACTACGCTGCCGGCACTTGCGACAAGGGCAACAAGTGTCCCAACGTACACGAAGGAGACGAGCGTTACCAGAACGAGGAGTTCCTCGTAGCCCAGACCAAGGCGGGCAAGCGGCCTTCACGTTTGGGTACGAGGGCAGAAGCGAAGCCGCCGCCAACCCAGGATTAGGATGCTTGGCCTATTTGATATATCTTGAGGGCTAAGATGCTTGCCCGCAACTCCGCATGGTTGTTGCATTCTGGCGACATTGAAGGGAGTTGGTTATTGCTGTTTGGATTGAGTTTGCTATCCTTGGTATTTTCCCCTCCACCCTGGCTTGACAGCCCTGTTGAGTTCCAGCCGCCCGAAAGGGCAGGCTCTGATAGGGCTGAACATAGCCGGGTGGGGGTGGATGTTCTGGCCTTGGGTCGCTCACAGCGTTGTGTTTTCTTTATTGTTTTCTTTGTGCGACTTACTACGGGTGGTCTCGGTGGTTGGAAGGTGGGTTGGAAACCGTATCATATACCAGATTCGTAGTATTGTAGAACCTTGATGATGCGCTTTACCCTGTGCACTTCGAATCCTTGACCACCCTTTAGCATGCAGTCTCGCGCTTATGGTAAAAGAGAAAGTCTTCGAGACCATCTCTTTTGAGTTAACATTCTCATGGACTGTAGTATGGGAGTCATCTCCAGATTGTAATCGAATATGGCGGTGGCAGCTCGCGATATCGACTGTAGCAATATCATCGCAAGCGTACCAGATGTCGCGATGTTATACACTGAGGTTTGCGCGCCGCGCGCGGGGCTTCGATAATCACCTACGCCGGTGGCGGACAAGCGCTATTCCAGATACGATCTAGCTTATCAGAAATTCAGGGTTTTCAAGCTTCACCCCACATCATCGACGAACCAAGCTCGGCTTGGCTATAGCTTGCATGTCTTACTCGCGCCTCTTTCCACTCTTTCCAATCATCGGCACTTCTTTTCATGCGGAGTATCCATTGCGACCGCGATCCTTCCGACATTCCGCGCCGTTAGAGGCCTAGGCTCATGGTGCACCTTCACCCCATGCACTGCTAGGAGGTTATCTCCGACCATGACGAATCGCAAGGGTACGCTAAGCGACTACTTACCCGGCTGAAAAAGCTTTAAGTCGCGCAATGTTGGACTCTAAATCTTTTGCGTTCCTTTAGACGTTACGTCCATCTCATTTCACATTCATGGCTTCAAACGAGCCAGGCCTTGCGCCTCTCAGTGCGCCGGCTGAAGATCCTGTCAAGGGAGCTGTTGGCGTACCCGTCGATACAGACACCCCCGTCGCACCGGACCAGTTCGACGAGCGTTACGAGACATCGAAGTGGGAGATCTGGTCGTATTACTGGTATGCAAACTATTCCAGCCCAGGGACTGATTTGGAGCGCAGTACGTCGACTGCGCTGAGGCTGACATCGTATTTTCGAACAGCTACTACGTCGGAGACAATGGCCTCACTCTTTTCAACTTCGGTCCGACGGCTTTCCAAAATCTCATGTATGAAGCTGCAGGAGACTCCGAGGTGCTGTACTTCATGGGCCGAGATCGTACCATCAACTCCATTGTGCTTCTCTGCAACGGCATCAGTTTCGCCATCCAGGTCCTCGTCTTCTTGATCCTCGGTTCTTTCGCCGATTTTGGTACATGGCGCCCCAACATCCTGATAGGGCTGTCCGTCATTGCTTTCGGAATCGGCTTTGGCTGGTTAGGCGTTCATACCGAGGATAAATGGCACGCCGGTGTGGGTCTCTATATCGTCGGTCTTATCGCATACCAAACGACAATCACATTCTGGACTGCTGCCTTCCCTGGGCTGGCAAGGAACACCAAGGAATTGCGAGTCAAAGCCGAGGAGTTCGCCGATGGAACGATTACCCGCGCAGAGTACGATTTTGCCGATATGATGAAGCGAAACGAGCTCTCCAACACGGCGTTCTATGTTCAATCTGTGTTTGAGATCCTCATTCTGGCTGTTATCGTGGGCATCATGTTCGGTCTGCACGTCAATGACAGCGCGGAGAACAACAACTGGGGTCTTTCCGTACTAATCGCCTTTGCTACCGGAGTTTGGATCTTATGCGCTCTTCCATGGTTCATCCTCGAGAAAAGGCGACCAGGTCAGGATCCAGGACGCGCGAATATTGTCTTAGCAGGCCTCAAACAGCTCGGCTATGCGATGCGGCAGATCTGGCAACTGCGCCAAAGTCTGGCCTATCTGGCCGGCTACTTCCTCCTCGGCGACAGTCTCAACACAACCGTGACGGTCATTGGTACCCTGCAGAACGAGATTGTTGCATACAACAGTCTGCAGCTTACCTACTTGCTCATTGTTGGCATCGCTGCCCAGGCAGTTGGTATTGGCGCCTTTTGGCGCATCCAAAAGTACTACGGTCTATCCACTAAGACTATGTTCATGGTCGTCGCCATATGCATCGTTCTGCTCGACGGCTGGGGCATGATCGGCATCTGGACGCAACGCTTCGGCTTCCACAACAAGTGGGAGGTTTGGGTATACCAGGCCTTCTATGGACTGCTTGTATGTCCGTGGTACAGCTATTCGCAAACCATGATCTCCGAAGTTACACCGAGAGGGAAAGAGTTTCTTTTCTTCAGTTTGTTCTCGATCGTGGGAAAGACAAGTGCTTTTATCGGCCCACTGGTCAGCTCTGCCATTATCGATGATACTGGTAACAACAGCAGTCCTTTCTATTTCTTGTTTGCGTTGAGCTTGGTCAGCTGCGCCTGGCTTTTCTTCTTTGTAGACGTTGAGAAGAGTAGGATTGAGCAGGAGACTTTCTTAGAGAGGGAGAAGACTACTAAGATGCACAACGAGGATGCTGAGAGCCTTACTTGATCATCTAGTAATAATTGAATTACCTCGTTCGCGAAGAGAGTTGCTAGTTCGGTCGATTCGTTTAAGCCGTTCGACAGACGCTGATCCTGATGACGACGATACCTGACCGCACAATGTTTCTGTACATGCGAATTCGAGTAAACAAGACATTCGCAAGTAAGAGAACGGAAACACACTGCTTTACCATTGCGCATCGCCGTGTGCTCACATTATTGGTCAGGCGGGGCCTCTACTCATGTTCACAATGCCCGTGTCTCAAGCTCACAACTGTCTGAAACCAGGCCATATTTTTTGAAGTTTTAGCTATTCCCATCTCATCACGTTGGTTCACCCGATAATTCGACGATTCAGTCTTACCAGCCATCGACATCATCAAGACCAAGCACACCGCACAACATCTGAACAACTCCAGACAAACAGCCATGACATTGACCTCGTGGCTAACAAGCTCCCCCGAAGGACCTACCCATACCACCGACCCCAACAGCTTCGCCTCTCTCGTCAACAAGATGAACCTCGCTTCCATAAAAGCTGACGCCGAAAACAGCTACAAAGAAAAGTACCTTCGACTCCGCAGGCAAATCGACTCAGACACCGTCCACAACGGCCTTCGTGCTGAGATCGCGTCTCTCTTAGCCAACAAAACCAAATACGAGGCTAAGCTCCGAGACACCGAAAAGGCGAAAACGAGCGCAGACATGCAGGTTGTCGCCCTTGATCTTGTGATCAAAGATACGAACGTGTACTACAAGGCCAAGCTAGAGACTGCAGAAGCGCAGAACAAGGTTCTTAAAGAAGAGAATGAGAGGCTGAGGAAAGATGAGCAGGAGTTGAGATGTTTGCTTCTCTCTCACGGGATTCATATGCCAGCGCAGGATTCCACGAATGAAAACATGCAGACCCTGGAATCAGTGTTTGATGTGGAGCTGTTGGAAGGTAGCGGTATTGAAGACGATTGGCGGACTGAATCTAGTGATTTGGGTACGGACTCGACGGATGTCTGCCCTCAGTGGTATAACTATGGTAGGTGTAGTCGGGATGGCAGTGATGCTGCTGAGAAGTGTGAGCTTGGTGTGCATCCACGTCTTCTTGACTTTGGTGCAATTCTGAAGGAGTAGAAGTGTATGTAGCAATATGTTAGGTGGTAGAGGAAGGCAGCCGTATGTAGAGTGGCCGGATGTGGCGAACACGACTTGTTTTCTGAACAGCAGACGCCTCTATGTTATGATAACTATCTCCTACATCATCATACAAACATCCATCCTCCTACTCCCCCAGCACCTCCCTAACCCTCTCCTCACCTGGAAACCTTACCTCCTTCTTCGCAACCACATCAATCAGCTCTTCCACCCGTCCCCATTCCTCCCCCGTCACATTCCCCAACCTCCGATCAATATCCGCGCCAAACCTTCCCCAGAACCTCGCGAAACTCGCCGACTCATCCTGGAGATACTGGCCCTTGTTAATAACAAGAAAGTTTCTAAACGCGTCCCACCAGGTCATCGATTCCTTTGGCACAATCACATCTTCCAATGCGTTCGTCTCTTGTGATGGCGCTCGACCTGCATTGTCGAGCATGTATATGAGCTCGTAAGTGTATGAGCGGTCGGCGCCTTTTGCCATGTTGTCGGGGTCCAGGGTGGCGCGGTCGAAATCGATCAAGACGATGGTCGGTAATGTGAAGTTGGGCCCTTTGCTTGAGGCGGATACGTCGAGCATGACGTTTCCGCCAAAGACGTCGTTGTGGGAGATATTGGCGATGTCGTGGAGCCACCCAACCGCCTCCGTTAGCTGTTTTGCGACGTGTAGTATGAGTACCTCTGGTATCGCGGGGAAGGGAAAACGGCGCGGAGCATCGTCTTCTGACGAGGGCTGGATTATCGCGGTGACCACGACTCGCAGCCGCTCAAGATCGAAACCACAGACGGGGCTGACGACCAGCCAGCCCGATCCGCCGTCCTTGATCGGATCATAGTCGATGAGGGTGGAAAAGTGCTTTGCGACGCTGTTGTTTTTATCAGTGACGAGAGAGCTGCGAACGCGTTCGAGAGCGAGGATTTCATCAGCTATCCTGTCGCGACACATCTCTCGGCTGATCATCTTGACGGCGACAAGGGCTGCACCCTGCGCCACGAAGCTGGTTGTGGATGAGCTTGCAGCCGACGGTGTGCGTACACAAAACGTGATACTTCCGCACGTACCTTTGCCTGCTTCGCGGATCGGGGTGTACAACTCGTTAGTCTCTTTGTAGATTGATTTGGGGTTCATGTCGTCGTCAGATGTTGCTGCAGAAGTGTACGCCGCTCATTGTATGCGTCGATCGAAGGGTGGTTCGAGGCTAGAATCGCCATGTAGTCTACGTGATGAATACGTTGGGTATTAACGCCCAAGAGCAGGGTCTACTGATAGTGAAAGAAGCGAATGCGATGCTGCGGTAGGCAACAAGCAACGCTGGAGAACCATTCACTACGTCTAGCTCTGTTCAGCCATATTGTCTTGTAGGTTCTGAGACTTCTCACCGTGTTCATGTGTCGTTGTTAGGATCTAGCAAATATCCGTGGTCACCTCGAAACACCGAATAGCAGGTAACGGAGCTGAGGAAGCGGCGCCAACAATAGAATAAATCAGGAGTAAGAAGCGTAGTGAACTCTATCAATTTGAGGCATCAAATAAGTGCCCAAGGTGTCCTATGGGTCGTATTGTACATAGTCGCATCTTCCACGACTGCCTCGTACTAATATACATTGTTGGCTTGCTTTTGGCAAGCAAAGTGGGCTTCCAACAAAGGTCTCATCCAAACAATTAAGTCAGACTACCGCTGTCAACACCTCTTGGCATTGGTGGACGGGGAATGTGTCATGGTTCCTATCTGGCGGCATCGGCGCCTACTGGGGCTGAGTCCGGTCTCCTCCAGGAGCCTCCGGGATGTAGAGGATGCGCGAAGGAAGCGCTGCCTTTGCTTCGTCGCGATGAACATAGAATTTTTGTCATGTTGACATGTCCGCATCAAGGGTTCAAGGGATCGAACTCCGTAGTGTCCTTTCCCCAAATCTCGATGTGATTTACGTCCTCCCTTCTCACAACCGTTACTTTTCTTATTGGTCCTGCTCTTTTCGCGTTCATGCTGTTATCCTGGCTGTTCGGTGTCGACTCGTTTTTTGATGGGTAGTAAACGTCGCCTAGCTTGAGCACGATGCTGTCGCCGTAGCCAACGTACTTGATATTCTTATACTCCGGTCGCCAGAACTCTGTTCCAATCGCGAAGGCATGCATCTCAGCATCTGTGATCTGATACGGCGCCTCGCTTGTGTCAGAGCTTGGGCGGAATAGAAAACGGACGGCCCAGAGCTTGGGCACTAGAGCAAAGACCTGGCGCAGAGACTCAAGCGGTGGCACTGAGCAAGCGAAGCCAACTTGCTCCAAATTAGAGCACGTTTGGCAAAGTCTGAACAGGGCATCGTCGGATAATACCCAGCGATCCGAGAGAAGGAGATGGCGAATGCTGTGGTTGTGATTGGTTTGAATGGCCGCAATAAATTCACTCCCGATGCTGCGACAGCGTTGGTCGGTCGTGTGTTTTGGAGTACTGCTCGCGCTAGAGACTCCGATGACACCTGGCGTCATCGTGGACGGTGTTGTTGGGGTTGCAGCAGCGCTGGTAGATCTTGGTGAGTCCTTGCCTCGCCTATTGCTCACAATGTAAAACCGCTCCATGCCCTTGAATTTGCCTAGCATGACAGCGCTCTCTTTATCCGTATTATCGGTGCGCATGACCTTCAGGTTGTGAGGCGTCGGGTGATTACTGTGTATCCTCCAAGAGTCGTCGGCAAAAACGGTCATAGGGTCCGAGGAGCCCATGGCGTTGATCAGGGTGAGCTCTGTATTGGTGTCGGGGCGGATAACATGGTGGAAGCCATCGTCGGAGAAGCGAGTGTAGATGTTGTATATTCCCAGGTGCTTAAGAGGTATAGAATACTTGGCAGACATGCATCGTCCGAATAACGAGTGCAGCGAAATCGACTCTTCGCCTACAGCCCGCATGCGCGGACTCCAGTGTAATGTGAGGTGCTCGAGCTTTTTGGAACCCAACAGAAGCAGCGAGATATCGTCGGGGTAGCAGAGAGGATCGATATCGTACACGATCAGAGTGGTCAGGTTCGGAAGCGGAGGTATAATGGTGGTCGGCCGTGGTATTCGTTTGGTTTGACACCGAAGGGTGAGCGAGACAAGCGTCGTCCTGGCTGCGATGCCCTGGTAGACGGTATACAAAGGAGGAGTGCTCAGCTCCCAACTGGGCATATCAGCATTTGTCCGATATGATTCTGGTACGACACCTACGCGAAAGCCTTGAGGTTCTTCATCTTGTCAATGGCGGCACGCATGACAACCTGCAGTATCATGCTGTTGTCCGGCACTCGGCCCTGCTTGTATTCCTCCGTATCATGTTCTCGCCAATCGCCTTTGACCCGGAACGTCTGTATGTAGTCGCCAAAGTTTCGCGACACGAGCGTGTTGAGGCCCATGGCAAACGGGCTGCCATTGCCGTAGCCTTCTGGCCTGCCATCTACGTATCGTATCTCGGCATACGAGTGTAACGTGACCGTCTCGTAGAGCCGCGGAAGCGTCATGTAGTAGAACAGACGCGACGTGCGCGTGATGCGCGCGAGGTCACCGACATCGTCGAGCTTCCGTGCGTGTTAGTATAGCTCGGTTGGGGCAGCTCGTCGCGTGGCAGGGCGCAGACCAACGTACGTGTGTGAGGATGAGCTGAATCAGGTGCAAGGGCAGCTCTTTCGCCTGCGCTAAGTTGCTGTGCGTCCGCGCGGGCGAAGTGAACCAGGTGTGCAGCGGCGCGGCCATGGCTCTATTGCTACCCTCTTGCAGCAACAAGGCATCGCCCGAGAGACGCGTGCGCTTTGGGTCCGACATGAGGCTAGATCAAGGGGACACATGCGTGATACAAACAAAAAAGGGTCCGTACTATCATGGCGGAACTCACAGCTTCATGGCGCATGCATATACGGTCATCATGGCTCATACGTCGTGCTGGCGAGGCGCGTCGGAACTTTTGCTCAGACGCCCGAATGTCCGCTTCGTCCACCAAGCGCGCCCGCATTGGTCCGGCTGCTCCGGGAAGACTCGGTTCACTCCTGGGCTGATGATCGACACCAGGCATTGTGTCCTTTCACGTGCACTGCAATACGGCATATACGGTCTGCATGAGGACCCTGCAAAGCCCTGCGTCGCTTTTTATATGGGTAGAACTCATTTCTATTTGACTGAAGTATGCGTGGACCCCCTGTTTGCGTGCAGCCAGAAAGGCTCATGGTGGGCGGAAATGTCTCCGATCACCACATGTGCACCAGACAACTTAAATATCCAGCGGTTCCGCCCGGAGAACTAAGATTTCGGAGTCGCCGTTTGCACCGATGCAACTAAACTACGCTCATGACCTGAAGAACCAGGGCTGTCTGCCCTTGAATTCGTCCGCAGGAACTCGAAAAGGGACCTCAATCGTTCCGTCAAACACGCTCATCGACGGTACGTCATCCTGCTTGAGACCCTGAAGCTTTGCCTCTGGCACAGGCATGACAACACCACACTCCCAGTTCCTGTCATGTTTTATACTAAGTTAGCATTTGTCTCACATGCAAACCAAATGTGTGTTTGCGTACCTGATGTTCAGACTCCCCATTTGTCCGCTCTTCAATACCTTTTGCCCTCCCCACGCTGATTCGGATATGTTGGCAGAGCCAACATAAACCCAAGCAAAGGGCTTCCCGTTCTTTCTACGACCTCGCGCGAAGAGCAGTTTGTTATGCGACAGCATCCCCCGTCGCATCGAGTCGTAGTCTCGCATGCATTCTCTTGGAAACGATGGTGCGTTGTAAGCCTGTCTTGTCAACGTAATGATACCGGCACCGTCAGGACCGCCCATGCTTTTCTCAACCGTTTCGTTGGTAGGGAAATATATCCGAAAGCAATCGCGTACGTTAGACTCTGGCGCAGTGTTTGTCCCGAACGACTTGCCGCATGCAGCGAGGCGAATGCGCGACAAGAAGGCATCGTTGATAGAACCGAGCGAGGATGCTGCGTAATCAAGCTCAATATGCTCGACTTCACCTAGATTGAGCTCTCTTACAGCGTGTGCGAGGCTAGGGAGACCTGTGGGATGGGTTGATTCGGTCTTGTGCGAACCGCCACTATTTTGAGTTAGTACTGGCCCCTAATGAGCATAGTTGAGGACATACATGGAGTGCACAAAGGCCAAATGATGAGTCTTCGAGAAGTCGCATTTCAACAGACCGGTGATGACCTGCGGACCCACTTCCTGCTGCTCCAAGAAGTATACCAACTCGCGACCAAAAGGTGTCAAGTCTTTCGCCTCCGTGACAGTACCGTCATGTCTGCGAGGGAGGTCTATCAAGAACACCGAGTTCTCCATGATGCCGGGCTGCCAGTCGTTTGCGACCTCGCCCCAGTCGGTCTGTGTCATGTTTGCAGTCGGAATCGCAATGCGTAGCTTGTCTTTTCCGAACAAGAGCATGAATTTGCTGTGCATGCTGGCTATCATGCCACCCATAGGCGGGAAATGGAGCTTCATGTTCGGTACGCGAGACTCCCTCCACTCTTGTATGCGCTTTGCCTGAACGTCCTCGCCTCTGTGCTTGCCAGTCATCAGCCAGATCTGTTTGACCTTTGTCGGATCAAGTTTTTCGTATAGCCATCCCGAATCGTACTGAAATGAGCTGATGACTGCGGTATTGACTTTATCGGCTTCTAGTAGTTCTTCAATAGTGATGTCGTCGGTTCGTGGGTATTTCGACGCGAAAGTGCGCTTGATCGCGCCATTGGGGTATTGTAACGGTGTTTCGTCCGAATCACATTTGGCGGCAGGCGTTCTTACAACTTGCTTAGAAGGTATCTCAGGAGATACCTCCCGCTTCCTTTTGCCAAGCCTTGCGAGACGCTCCAGTTCCATGGCTTTCCGATCCATACCCATGAAACCTGGAGGTTTGTCGACGGCGGCTGCTGTTTTGATCACACTCGTTGGCGGTGCGCTCGAAGCCGATGACTGTTGCACGTCATTATTTGCGCTTTCCTGCATCGATAAGGCAATCGCACGCCGGAGATCGTCGTCATCTTCGTCCTCAGTGTCAGATGTGAGGTCGATTGACTCGTGCTTATCGCCCGATGCGCTGTCGCGTGCAGCCCGAGGCGAATTCGCCTGCAAGGACATTGCCATCGCAAGCTTGAGATCTTCATCATCAGAATCCATGTGTCCAAGAGTCAAGATGTGGTTGTTATGGAATGTTGGTGATTGGGTAAACAAACAGATTCGTTGAGAAGCGGAAGCGATCCGGCATGGCAGGACCCTCGGGGCCTGAACGCGCTGTCGCGAAAGCATGTGACCAAGGCTTGGCAACCTATATGGATCATCACGGCTTTGAGCTCAGCCTGCTCTGTTACACCAACGAAGATGCGCCTAAAACGATTTTATTCTCCCATATAGACTACTCATATCTTCTACAACAGTCGTTCACTTGGTTTTGCCGTCGACAACCCCGCCCGTCCGCTGCACGTTGCGAAACACCACCAAGTATCCCAGATCAGCCAGGATCCAAGTAACCATCATCACCACTGACATCGGATTGACATAGTAGCCGTGTGCCTCCGGCCATACCCACCAGACATATCCGTAATTCACCGTCAACCCCGACACACTGCCGATGAAACGGCACGCCCAAATGCTATACGAAGAGCCGCGACTGCTTCCTCTGACCACAAGCTGTGCCAATGACATGACGCTCAGCACAACCTGTGCGACCATGGCAGTCCAGTAACCAAGCTCGTCCTTGTCGATGCCCAGATTGCCGCGGTACGCTTTTCCAACTTTTGGGTTGACGGGGTGATCGACATCAAGCCACCATGAGCTCACAGCATACAACGCGATGCACCACCATACCAACATGCCAGCGAAGATCTTGCCGATATTCCTGCCAACTGCTGGCGCATGTCGCCATTCATTCGCGCCATATGTGACAGCGGCATAGACGATGCCCATGTCTAAGAGTCCCCATAGGGCGAAGAGGGCTTTCTCCCGGAGCTCATCGGCAACGTATATCGCGAATACAATCTCCCACGCAAAGTCTGAACAGTGGTGTACCGGGTCAGTACGTGTCATATGCAATTCGTACGGAGACACATACTGAAGGCGAGCGAGAAGAGAGGCATAGCGTATGTGCGGTCGCGAATGGACTGTCGCGCCATCAGGGCGTAGCAGATGGTGTACAAGATACCGCCAGTGCCGAGGAAAACATCGTTCGCGTCGAAGATGGTGGGGTCGACGTGCGCGGGCAAGATGTCAAGGCGACCCATAATTGCGAGTTTAGATCAGAGAAGAGATGAGTAGACGTGGAATGCGCAGTATAAGGGAGTTTAACATATATCGTGAGGGGTGGCGCCCCTGTCATCACGAGCCTAAGTAGCGCTTATGGTTAGTCCGTAAAGGTGAGGTGTCATTCGGACCGCCTCCGGGCTCCCGCAAACTTGTATACGCCGCCCTTTCATATTCGTCCTTCCAGCTGCAATGCGACATTATCACATGCAATATGTTTGTGTGATTCGGTACATTGCAGTGTGGTTTCCAACGCGGATATCATTTCGGCTTTGGCGGTCCTTGACTATCCTCCGTGTAGCGTAGACACGAACATGATGTGATCGCCTCTCTGAACCTCGTACTTGTCTTCGCCTTCCAGCTCCCAGTCTGCTTCGTTGATGAGGACCAGTATTCCAGGTCGTCTGGAGCTAATGTCAGCATGTCATTGTTCTCTTGGGGCAGGGACATACACAGTATCATCAAGCACGAAAAGTTCTTTCCGCGGATCTTTCATGACCTTGTCGCAAAGGTATCTGACAAGGAATGCAACATTTGCTGGCTCTCCAGACTCATCCTTCGCTGGTAGGGCAAGATCATACTTTTTCTGGTTGGCGAACAGGATCTCCAGGCCCCCGCTGTAGAAGATTAGAGAGGAACATCGCCATTTCGCAGGACAACCAACCTACCTGAACTCTATCGTTATTGGAATCGTCTCATCGTTTGACATTTCGTCTCTGCTTGTCTGTAAGATGCTAGAGTTGTAAGGGATTCGGATGTTATCGACATCGGTTGCGCCTGCTCTGCAGCCCTGAGCCAAATGCAGCTAAGCGAGGCTAGCGCCAAAGAAATCCTTACGGCGATGACTAGATGCGGTGCCTGCGCATACGCAACGCCTAGACCCAACAATGAACATATCTACTGAGTTCATCGCTGCAGGTGGCAATCGAAATCCCGCTGCCGCTGACTGGGATGAGGCCGGGTCGCAACTGCTAGCGTTCGGCGCAGACAACTGTATCGCACTCTGGGATCCTCAGGTGAGTCGTGACTGGCCAATGACACAACCTTCACTCACCAAGATAGGACGAAAGTCTTCGTGGCGTGCAAGCAATTCTGAGTGGGCACACCAAAGCTGTGAATGCTGTCAAATTCTTTCCAACACAATTGCCCAATGTCTCAGTCCTGCTCAGTGGATCGGCGGATAATACGATCCGCATATGGCGAGGCCGAAGAGGCGAATCTTTCGACTGTGTCAAGACGATTTCAGATCACACTCAGCCAGTCACCAGAATAGCTGTACTGCCTGGCTCGAACACTTTGGCAACCGGATCTTCAGATGGCACTGTCAAGATCTGGAAGCTTGTTCATGATACAGACTTCGGGTCCGTCGATGTCGAGCTTGTACAAACCATCACACTATCACCAAAGTACTTCCCTCTGAACCTGGCACTTGCGACTCTGGACGAAAAATCTACAGTGCTAGCAGTTGCGGGCACACGTAGCACCATTCAAGTCTTTGTATCACAAGAAGGCCAATTCCAGCTTTCGGCAACTCTTACCGGTCACGAAGGATGGATACGCGCTCTTGCATTCACTAGAGAAACGTCTGATCCGAACAGCGATCTATTGCTGGCATCCGCAAGCCAAGACAAGTACGTCCGTCTTTGGCGTCTCCACCGTGGAGATGAGCTTCCCGCTGCCAGTACTGCCCTCAACGATCCAGCCTTAGGTGGACTAGGCAAGTCCCTGTCGAACAAAGCACATTGGATTAGCTCTGCTACTTCCAAGTACTCCATTACATTCGAAGCGTTGTTACTAGGACATGAAGATTGGATATACCAGGCCTCCTGGAGACATCGCGAGGGAAAGCTCCAATTACTCACGGCTTCGGAAGACAACTCACTCGCCATCTGGGAGTCGGACCCTAACTCCGGTGTGTGGGTTTGCATCACCAGACTAGGCGAGATAAGTGCGCAGAAGGGCTCGACGAGCGCTACTGGAAGTGCTGGAGGTTTCTGGATTGGTCTATGGTCGCCAGATGGAAACACTGTGGTATCACTAGGACGAACTGGTAGCTGGAGGAAGTGGACGTACTCGGCCACGGAAGATATGTGGACGCAGCAAGTCGCCATCACAGGGCATGTGCGCGAGGTCAAAGGCGTGAGCTGGTCAAGAGATGGGTCTTACATGCTCTCCACTGGTTCCGATCAAACCAGCCGGCTCTACTCGCAATGGAAACGAGAAGGCGCATCAGCATCATGGCATGAGTTCTCGCGGCCCCAAATCCACGGCTACGACTTGAATTGCATCGACGCGGTCTCCAACACTCAATTCGTCTCGGGCGCAGACGAGAAGTTGCTACGTATTTTCGACGAACCTAGAGGTGTAGCGGAGATGCTCCAAAATCTCTGCAGTATCAAGGCGTCAACTACTGCTGAGCTTCCGGATGCAGCCAACATCCCCGTCCTTGGCTTATCGAATAAGGCTATTCAAGCTGTGGGAGACGACGAGCCAGTCGAGAACGGCGACGAAGACGAGCGTGAAGCCGTCGACCCTTCCTCCGTAATCCGCAAATCGACACTAGATTTCAGTCACCCACCATTCGAGGATCATCTGGCCCGCCACCTACTATGGCCGGAGACAGAGAAGTTATACGGACACGGCTATGAGATATCTGCTGTTGCAGTGAGCCGAGATGGAAGTCTCGTTGCAACGGCCTGCCGAGCCAGCTCAATCGACCACGCCGTCATACGGCTGTACGACACGAAAGAATGGCTAGAAGTCAAGCCTGCACTCAAGGCGCATTCACTCACCGTCACAGCGCTACAGTTCTCACCAGACGACAAATACCTTCTTAGTGTTGGACGAGACAGACAATGGGTCATCTGGGAGCGCAGCGAAGAGCAGTCATTATATGCACTCAAGCACTCGAATCCAAAGGGCCATTCACGTATGATACTGGGTGCTGCCTGGACACCTCTCGAGCAACCTACATTCATGACTGCTGGCCGAGACAAGAGTGTCAAGATCTGGCAGATCGCCGAGAACGACGTGCAACTCAAGGCTACCGTATCAGCAAACGCCGCTGTTACCGCTGTAGCTTGTAACGGCGTCCGATCGAATGGAAAGATCATGTTTGCCTTTGGTACAGAGAAAGGAGAAATAGGTGTCGCGAGCGCATCACCAGATGCTTTGGATCAGGCACAAGTATCAATGGTCAAGGCAGACTTGGTGCCAGCGAAAACTATCAACCAGATCGTCTGGCGACCTGGAAGAGCAGATGGCGAGGCACAACAGATCGCCGTAGCAAGTGATGACACCACCTTGCGCGTCTTCAATGTTTCGGATGAGGTATTGCAGCACTAGCACAAGGCATCGCGAGGGCGGTACATGGATGTCAACAGTTGAATAGACTTTACACTATTAGGTAGGTTTCGCTGGGGTATATCGCCAAGAAAATTCACTTCCTTCAACCTCATCAATGAAAATAGTACTACATGTCCACCTCTTCGCTTAAGCGTAACGGGGTCCAGCCATCTTCTCAGGAAGATCCGAGGCTGCCATGCTAGATTGACCCTTTGGGTACTGTCCGGGCGCCATGCGCTGAACCGGCTGCGTCATCTGTGGGTGCTGCCCGAACTGCTGCCCAAACTGCTGCATCTGACCCGGTCCTTGTTGCATATACGGGGGCTGAATTGGGGGCTGGCTCGGGTACCCTTGCTGGTTGGGCGGCATCTGATAGTACATGACCTGGCCCGGCTGCGGTTTCATGTGTGCCTGTCCTGGTGGCGGCACAACAGCACCATTACTGATCATGTTCTGCACGATTTCAGCAGCAAGCTTTTCGGCGTCCTTGCTCGTTGTGCGGCGGCGGTGGCGATGGCAGTCAACGCAAGCCCACACGAATAGCGCAAAGTGAATGACCAGGCCGAAGAACTGGCATACCACGCCGGTCAAAGTGACGTTTGAGCGATGATCCTTTTCGGCCCAAAGTTTGTTGACGAAGGCGTCCTGCTCCTCACAGCTGTCAAACTGACTGGATCGGGAACAGTCTCGAGGAGTCTCGATGTAGCTCGTGTCCTGTTCCCATACCCATGTGTTGTTGGAAGCCAGGACGTATTCTCCATCGCTGCTGTATGAGTACCCCCAACCCCACGTATCGAATCCGTCTAGACCCCACCTCATCAAGTACCGGAGGGCTATAAGAGAAAACAATGCCGTTACGATGAAGCCAAGCCACAGAAGAAGATCCATCGCTACGCGGACACCTGGATGTACAGGTCGCTTGCGCAGCAGGAACACGATTATGCAGAGCGCACACCAGACTATCGAGGCAGCCCAAGTAATCAGACTGGGCCATAGAGACCAGTAGCTTTCGTAGCTGATTGAATAAGAGGAATCCGGGTCGTATTCATTATCCATTGTGGACATCAGCCAGCCAAAGCAACCGACTCCGATCAAGCCTGTTATGATGGCAGCGGCCTTGAGACCGAACTTGAACTTCCAGTATCGGTCGGCAGCATTGAGCTTGTCGTTGTATGAAAGGCGTTCCTCGGTCTCGGTCGCGGCGCCCTGTGGAGCTGTCGTGTGCGGGATCGACGCCGGGGGTGCCATGGTGGGAACACCCGGCGCAGGGCTGCTCGAGGGAGGCATTCTGGGCGAGTTCGCGTGCGCAGACGAGGTTGAGTTCGCGTTCGTCGCGTCGGACAGTCTTGCTGCGGACTTGGGAGGGGGCGTGGGGACTGGAGACGGAGGCCCCCCTGAGATCGCGTCAGGCGCTTGCGGCACAGCTTGCGGCTGCGGCTGAGTAGAAGAAGACATTATTAAAGTATTAACTAAGTAGAAAGCGAGTGGATGCGCAGAGACATGCGCGTGGGATGGGGTCAGACAGAATCTTCACAAACACAAACGACCGCGAAGACGATCAGGCAACAGGAGAGAACCTCGCCTGGATGCGTCCATCGTGCTGTTTGTGGCGCCATTGGGTGCCTGAGGCTAGTCAGCATTGGTGTTGGACGTCACTTAATTTAGATGAGCAGGAGCGGAAAAACGATGATGCGGGCCGGCTAAGCTCCAGTCATCTCAGTCATCAATGCACGGCTCGTAACGACACGCTTGTCAAAGCTTAACCCAGGCGTGCTCCTTTGTTCATTTCGCAATCTCAGGAAAGTCCTTCTCAATCAAAAATGTGTTGGTTCAATATTAAGTACTTCATTACTACCTAGTTGGCTCACCGGCGCCAACGCGTCGCGGGATACCGCAAAAAAAACATTACATCGTAAATAAGCCTGTATCGACCAAATCCTGAAGCAATCAAACTCCATACTGGGCCCAGGCACGAACTGGAAGAAGGAATGACAAGTGCAGGTGCCCCATCTCAGTCATCTCAGCCATCACAACTCTACCTGTGGTAGGTCGCGCTTAGTACATTGGGTCGCCGATAGCGGTGATGGAAGCAGTGCAAACACCGTCTTTGCAGTAACCAGCAGGGGTCAACCAGCCCCAAAGTTCTATAGTCTGTTAGCATCTGTTGTGGAATTGTTTCGTGGAACGTCAAACTTACCGACTTGCTCTCCGTTGGCGAAGATGGCACGGGCAATACCCGAAATGGTAGCGGAGCACGCCTTGTGGCCAGAGATCTGGTCGCAGGTAATGATGAAGGGAGCGGTAGCTGAAAGAGGAATGCTGGCAGATCCGTAGCAGCGGCCCTCAGCGCACCATGCAGAAACGGTGTTGTTCATGGAGTACTTGTCGCCGTCGACGAGCAGGTTCTCGAGAGAGCCTGCGACAGTGACGGTGCACTTGTGGTCGGTGTTGCAAGCTCCAGATACTAAAAGGATGTCTGTTAGCACAAAAGGAATCAGGCGGGGACGAGGTAGTAGGTATACTTACGGAGACCGACAGCAGCTCCGAGAACACCAGAGAGAACCTTGTCAATGACAGGCGGCATAGCGGGAAGGTTCTCAAGAGAGAGCACGCCGTGACCCTGGACTGGGGCAGAGAAGCTCGATGGCATCGTTGGTTGGCCAGTGGAAGCGGCGGTTGGCGCAGCGGTGATGGTGGACACAGTGTTTGCCTTTGCAGCAGAACCCGATCCAGAACCAACGCTCACATCCAACAGAGCGCTGGAAGTAGCAACACCAACGTTGATGCCACCGAGCTTGAGGCCCAGGAGAGGAGAGGCATTTGCCGAGGCAATCAGAAGAGCGAGGGTAGTAGTAGTGAACTGCATTGTGAAATCCGAAGCTGAGAAGCGATTGATAGCACGGAAACACCGAAGAGTGTGATGGCCGAGATGACTGAGAGGAGCTGATAGAAGAGCTGGAGATGATTGAAGCTGATGATCCTAAGATGAAGGGATCTTGCCAGCTCTTTGTAGTCGTTCATGGTGGCTTGGTAGAACGACGTCTTCTCAAATCTTCTGTTGTTGAACCCCTGACGTACGTCAACTCTGTGCTAATTGAGGGCAACCGGTTCGCACTCCGAAGCGCGCCTTCGATTTCGATGCCAGAACCCAACGCCTGACGATGTTCGCACTACGAAGTTTCAAATCGGCTGAGGCTTCCAGACCACCCGTTACAGATTCTCGATCTTCAGGCACGGATACTAACGTCGCTGATCTGCCGTTAAGCGAGCCCCTACGTCGGTGGTGTCCGACACGCAAGATCTGTATGTACCGCAACGCCAGATCTATCGCGTGGTCACTTAAGGTTTTGCACTAGCTGGCCGGAGTGGTCTCCGAGCGATGCGGGACTTAGGACTCAACCAATGGGATCACACCCATGTATTACTACGCAAACCTACCCGCCTCCAAAAGCTACTTGGCAATGCCGAAATCGAAGCCCAACGCGCGCTGTATGGTACCGCATTTGGCCAGACCACGTTTGACTAGTACTCTTTTGTCCAGACGGCACTCCCTTTTCGCTACCACTTACCTGGTCGCTGGTTGAGCTACAGACGCCTCGGCAACTTGCACCAACGCTCGACTAGCCTCATGGCTATACAACAGCTAGATTGTAGTATACCTAAGTACATCGTGGCTAATGTCTTCCACTGTCTCGATTCGGTGATGACGATGGAGTCAGGCTTCAACGCATTCAAATCATCGCAGAGTCATTCGAGCTACTCAGAACTTCACTGCCTAATGCAACAACTTCACAATATGGCGTTGTATCACGCTGTGTGATATGTTAGCTGCATCGTTCTCGTCTAACGAACAAGTAACCTCGGAAGGGTTGCAAAGTTACTGAGGTCTGGACTCCACGTACCTAGATTTGATGAGTGATCTCATACATCGTGGTAACATATCGCGATAAGGAGAGACTCGACAAAGTCGAAGTTGTGAAGATTAGAGTACATGGAAAATAAACTGTGCTACGATTACTGCGTCTATACCGGCTCGTACCGTCCTCTTCTCGGTATACAGGCGACAAAGAAAATATGCATTGAAGTATTGTACACAGAAGAATAAAACATTACAATCCAGTCGTCACGGGCACAAGCGCCTCCAAACCATCCGTTCCGTCATCACAAACACCAAAGTGATCCGCAAGGGTCATACCAGGCTTACCATCGCGGAAGCAAGCCGTGTTCTTCGTAGCATAATCCCTCAGTGCGGTCCAGTCCCGACATTGATGCATCTGGCCATCACCAGCCATGCCATCGCCGTGACCATACAGCGGAGTGTTATCCGCATGGCACATAATGTGTTGACGCAGGGCGTCGAAACAATGCAAAGCGTGATGCGAGGGGAAGGGCGGGAACTCTTGGCGCTTCAGAGCTAGATATGAGGCGCGAACGATACGCTAGAAGGGGGGTGGTTAGAAAAGATGCATAGGTACCTGATGTTTACTGAACAACGGGAGTGACGTACGAGGCAGTGGAGCTGATGGTAGGCTTGGAGAAGATACATCCCTTTACCAGGCATGCCGGGTATGTCCATAGAGGCAGGCCACTGTAGAAGATGTCAGTCACTGCTCATCTCAGTGATGGTGTCTTCGTTCCCGGAGACCTGGTTGGGGGTAACTCACGTGGTTCTCTGCCGCGAACTCATGGTCAACTGCGATATGACCATGCGCAGTGTTGATGTTGTCCCACAGCGGGTCTGCTTCCGTCGCATTGGGCGCACCCCATGGCGTATTCCAATGAAAAGGAACATACGCGATAGGAAGAGACTCTACCCTAGCAAGGTCGTTGGGAACCTCAAGGGAGCTGGACTGGGCGAGGCTGGTCAGCGTATCTCCCGGGGTCGCCGTGGCGGCCACACCCGCAGTGCGCCATATGGCAATCGAGAAGCCCAATACACAGACGTTTGCGAAGGAAAGCACGACCAGTGCTATCGTCGGATAGTGTCGTCTGTGCGCCGAATGCGAACACGAAGCGTGATCCGAGGCTGGCGGGTCCGCCGAGGAGACGAGCTTGTACCGAGCGAACATGGTGTTGTCGAAAGCGTGGAGGAACGATCGAGAAACATTGCTGAAACCTGCATATCAAATACTCACGATGGTCAGCGCTGCGCAGGATGCACGAGGCAAGTCCTAACGAAAGCAGCGTGCAGTTAAGGTTCACGACGATGCCTCGAGGTGGTTAGCGTAGTACTTAAGCATGCCGCAATCGCGCGAGGAGTTCCTTCCGGCCTCGGTCCGTCACGACCGAAAGTCGTCGCCTCACGATCTAGGTGGGTCTGCGAATCAACGCTTTTCCCCAGACTGCGCACCAGGGGTCGGATCTAGACCGAGGCGCGGGAGATCTTCCGCATGTCGCTGCTGGGAAAATAGCCATGTGCTCGGGGTTTATGTGCGTCACTTGTTCGTGCCCAACGGCGCTTCTGTGCCAGCCTTGCGCACGACTATCGAGCTGAACACCTTTGGGCCACTACCGGGTACCTAGCTAAGGGTGAGGGTGTAGACATGCAGTTCTTCTGAGAAGGAGTTTCCTCCGTCCTCTCCATACCTGTGAATGCCATGTCTACATAACCTCGCGTGATCACCACCGGTAGAACTCATCATCACGGCGAACCATCAGTCTCTCTTTCAAGCACATCATACTTGCGAGTTCTCTCCTTCTTGAGAGTATCTTCGGTTACTTCTTCCGAGTCCTTCGTTATACCGCCGCCAAGATGGGTTACACATACATCAACGTTACCTCGTGCCTCGCCACTGGCATCGCTCTTACCGTCTTGACTGTCCTTTTCGTCGCTCTGCGAATAGGCGTAGCGATACAAAAGGCCGGAAAAAGCAGAGAGACGCGTCTCAGCAAGCATCTCGACGACCTCTTCTGCCTCCTCGCTCTCATCCCAACCATCGGCGTCTCCACTGTTCTCATCTATGGTAAGCCTCGAGCCAAGCAAAACCCAAGCCCTTCTTTTATCTGACTAGTTCTACAGGCGCTGCTAAGGGCATTATCGGCGGCCACAACGACCCTAGCAACATCGAAGGCTGGATCTACAGCACGACACCAGATTTGGTAATCTTGGAGAAGGTTAGTCACCCTGTTCTCGGCTGGTCTTTCCCACTCGACTAACATTCCGACAAGTGTGTATACATGATTTTCATCATGCAGCCGCTGGCTATCGGCTTCACGAAACTCGCTTTCTTGTTCCTGTACCGTCGCATCTTCACGTGGCCTGGTTTCCAGTGGACCTCGCTTGTGTTCATCGTCCTCACTGTGGCTTTCACCATCGCCTTCTTCTTTGGCTTCATCTTCGACTGCCGCTTGAACTTTGCTGCCAATTGGGGCTCTCTTGCTAGTATCGCGGAGAATTGTCCGTTTGGATTCGAGGCGACCATCACCTTTACGGTTCTTGATGCTGTGTTCGATCTCTGCATCTTGCTTCTGCCACTCCCATGGGTAAGTTTACCCAAGCTCGATTCACTCTTGACAGACGGCTAATCATTGCGCGAACAGATCTGGCGTCTCCAAATGCCCACCGTCCGCAAGATCCAACTGTGCGGTGTCTTCCTACTCGGAGGATTCGCCGTCGCTTCCGCGATTGTCCGCATGGTCATCTGCATCAAGCAGAACACACCGTCCGCCGCCCTCGACGAACAGTACATTATGGGCATGCCCACCTACGACATCATCGGCATAACCTCGCACGGTCTATTCTGGACCGTCGTCGAGACCAACGTCGCCCTCATCGCCTGCTGCCTTCCCAAGATCCGATCCGTGCTCAGCTTGGCCGGCCTGGGCAGCATCATGATGTCCATGGGCTCTCTCCTCCAGAAGATGGGCTCCAGTATGGGTACTCAGAACTCCAAGAGCGCTAGCAATGGCAGCAACGGTAGCGGCCAGTTCAGCAAGCTCAGCAAGATCTCTGCTGCTACGACCGTTACGGTTGGTAGCACGCCCCGTAGCCAGCTCGGGCACTACCGCTTGGAGAAGGAGCGCTCTGATAGCGATATCAACCTCGTTGACCTCAAGGGCTTGGGCAACAAGACTGACGCCGAGGCCGTCGCCTTGGAGAAGGGAATGTCGCCAGACTCTTACGAGGACTTGGAGGACAGGAAGTACCTTGGAAGAAACTCTCCCAGCAGGTTCTCCACGTAAACCAGCGCAGTAACGATGCGATATGATGCCTCTCCGGAGGCTACGATCCCAGATATACCCCTCAATGATTTTGTCCAGCGTAGTGTAGCGAACGTAGCGTAACATATTAATAATAATCAAACACCCCTATCAGCATAATTCTTCTTGTTGGCCAGTATATCTCGTGACGAAACACATCGACAATATGCACAGGTCGGCAGCCAGCCTCAACATCACGATTGTCAGTCACCGGAGAGAAAGAACCTGGAAATAGCTCAGCACATAGCATGATTAAGTATCATGACTCGATTGCATGCATTTGATTGAGAGTTTGCGGAATAGAGTTTAACGCATCTGGTACTCATCTAGTGCCATGCCTTTAGCGATCTTCTTGATCAGTGCTTTCTTCAAAAACTGTTCTCGAGCCAGACTTCGAGTTTGCTGTAATCATGTTAGCCATATTCCAACTAGAACAAAGTCGCAGGAGATGCACTTACCTTGACGAAGACTTCAGTACTGACGCGCCCCTTGTCCAAAGCTCTACCCAGTACGAACAATGCGTCTGCAATGCCCTTCTCTTCCGCAGCAAGAGTGTAGAGCTGCCCTCCGACGATTGTCGGCGCTACTAGGACATCATCCACGTCTGGTGCCTTTCTTCTGCGAGCATCCTCCATGACTCTATCTGCTTCAACCATGGCACCCTTCAAAACTTGTTCGTTCGACGCAAGCGCCGCGTCAAGCTGCTGCAGTTCGCCCAATTCCGACTGTAACCGGGAGTATGCAGTCTGTAAGGCGGCTTGTTGCGCGCGAAGTGGTGCTACCGCAGCCATGTTGGAGGAAACTGTTTGTCGGATTTGCGATACCAGCGTTTGGCTCAAGGCCCGGAGGAGTGCGTCCTTCTCAGGGTTTGGTGGAACAGGTGGTACTGGTAATAGAACTTGGTTGCCAGACTGTGACGGTAATGTGACTTCCAGCGAGTCGTCGAGAAGATCGATTGGGGGCTTCGGAGCTGGTGGCGGTTGCTGAGGAGGTGCATGTGAGTATTGCTGGAAAGGAGCCTGTTGCTGTGGCGGGTAACCCTGTGGCGGCTGTCGATACTGCTGTTGCTGTGGTGGAGGCTGCCCATACTGCTGCTGGGGTGGTGGGCCCTGGTACTGTTGTGCTTGCTGGAAGTTAGGGGGCTGTGGGGGCCCTGATGTCGAGAACTGGGCAGCCGTTCGTTGACCGTTTGGTGTCATGGGGCTTACAGGGCTGCCGTTCTGTAATGACTGTGGAGGGTAACCATGTGCGTGCATTTGCGGGTGTTGAGGACCTGAGCCTGAAGTCGCTGGACCTTGACCATAGCCACTCTGTCGATTGGGCGCGTATGGTGGACCTGAAGGCTGCGGTTGCCACCTCTGCGGCGCATCGTATCTACTACCCTGAGATTGCTGATACGGTTGCTGTGACTGCGGATGTTGTGGAGGGTGGGGTGGCAGAGGAGGGGGTTGCGAGTATCGGTCGTGTGGTGTCTGGGGCGTGGAGCGGTTTTGTTCATGTGGCTTCGGCGGCTTTGGAGGGGGCGCTGGCGCTTGGTTCGATGGAGCAGGAGACGAGGATGCGCCTGGAGCGCCGTGTACTGAGCGGCCCCATTCGGCTGGCGGCGGGGGTACTGGAGGGGGTGCTTGCTGCTGCGGCGCATTGTATTGCGGCTGTTGTTGCCGTGATCGCACGGGTGGCTCTTTCGCAAAGACGCCTCTTAGCACGGCTAGGAAGTCGAACAATGTAGATTTCTGCGCACATATCAGCTGTCGTGCCCCAAGGTTGAGCATTTCGCCCAGCAGCCTTCTAAGCTCATGCAGTACTCACATCCCAGTATTTTGCCCATTGTGCCAGATACGGATGATATATCCTGCCATCGGTGCTCACATGTTGTCCAGGTCTTAACACCATGTCCTGTGCCGGCGTGACGTATACGATGGGTGGTTCCCGGGGGTACGACTGAGGCACCCATATCGCTACCGGGAAGCCGTATGTTGCGCCGCGAAATGTGACCGGCAGCGTGCCACTGAGAAGCAAGAGAAGCGCTGATGAGCCATTCTCATACGTGTATGGTTCGGTCTTTGGTGAAAGCGACGGGTCTGGACGTTGGTGTAAAGTTAGTATAGCTGTCGTGAAGCTGCGACGCATGTGACGTACAGTTGGACAGTGCCTCGGCCGCGTCGTGATATGTGCGATTTACGTCTGAGTATTCCTGAAGTCTATTAGCGCATACGATGTTGATTGTCGCGAGGGGAGTTACATTGACGAGAACGCTGTATAGCCAGTTGAGTACTTTCTCGCTGGCCATGTTGTAACTGATGGATGATAGCACCAGGTTAGACGATGGACAGTGGAGCACGGTCCTCACCTCTCCCAAGGTGAACCCCTCAACACCTTGGCAATGCCCAATGACTTGCCCCTCTATCTTTCACTTAGACAATCTGCGCATGCATCACGCATGAAGGAATTCATCAAGAGTATGTGTACATGCTCAATACATTTCATTATGTAGAGCTATTGCGTATGGTACATTGCTATGTAATCGTGTTTCTCGTAACCGCTACAACGAGCGTGGGCATTGTTGCCAAAGAATGTACGTCATTATATTATACAAGTTTCGCCGGGGTATCAAACAACTACTTCGCTCAATGCTGACTCCATTCGATCGTGTTGAGGTCGACACCCTCCTGCACGAGTTCCCACAACGGGCTCAACTCGCGGAGGAAGGTAACGCGCTCCTTGACAGCCTTCAAGACGTAGTCGATCTCTGAGTCTGTAGTGTAGCGTCCGATACCGAAGCGGATACTGCTGTGCGCGCTTTCGTCACTGCTGCCAAGTGCCCGCAGGACGTAACTGGGTTCGAGCGACGCCGATGTGCAAGCGCTGCCCGAAGACAAGGCAATGTCTTTCAGCGCCATGAGAAGTGACTCACCCTCGACGTAGGCGAATGAAACATTGACACAGCCGGGGTAGTGTCGCTCCCTGTCGCCGTTGAGTGTGGTGTGCTCGAGCGATAGGAGGCCTTCGAGAAGACGGTTCGACAGCGCAGAGATGCGCTTTGTGTCATACTAGCCATTGTCAGCAAAGTCCGAACAAAACCGGTGTAACCAAGACAATGTGTGATAAGGAACTCATAACCCCTGCACTTGTGTCAACATGGCGCGTCGACGACCGAAGCCGCCTAACGCTCTGAAAGCCATGCATGTGTAAAGCAAATAATCATAGTGTTCGTGATGATAAGGGAAGAAAGTACGTACCTCCATCTCTTCTTTGCAGATCCGTGCGGCTTCGCCCATACCGATGGCAAGAGGAGGTGCTAGTGTGCCACTTCGCAGTCCTCGCTCTTGACCACCGCCGCTGATGATGGGGTCGAGCCTGACCCTAGGCCGTCTTCGTACGTAACATGCGCCGACGCCCTTGGGACCGTAGATCTTGTGGCCTGATATCGACATCAAGTCGACATGCATCTTGTTGACGTCGATTGGGATCTTGCCGACAGCCTGTGCGGCATCGGTGTGGAAGAAGATCTTCTTCGACCGGCAGAGCTTTCCGATCTCTTCAACGGGTTGTACAACACCGATCTCGTTGTTGACAGTCATGATACTGACAATGGCGGTATCGGGTCGCATGGCGGCCTCGAGCTGAGCCATGTCGATCAGGCCGTTGTTCCCTACTGGCAGGTAAGTGACGGAGAAGCCTTCATCTTGCAAATGTCTACAGCTGTCAAGCACACACTTGTGCTCGGTCTGTGCTGTAATGATGTGCTTCTTCTTGCCGCTACGCCCAAAGAAGCGAGCTACGCCCTTGATACTCATGTTGTTACTCTCGGTAGCACCGCTGGTGAAGATGATCTCCTTGGGGTCTGCACCAATGAGGTTGGCGATGTGCGCGCGGGCATCCTCTACGGCCTTGTCGGTCTCCCAACCGTACGCGTGGGTTCGCGAATGGGGGTTACCGTACATGCCGGTCATGTATGGCATCATCTTGTCTACTACTCGTGGGTCCATTGGGGTCGTAGCTTGCATGTCTAGATAGATAGGCCGTGAGCCCTGATCCATGACGGTTGCTTGCTTGAGTATGCCTGAAATTGTCAGCTTCGCGGAAAGCGGGGTGGCGTGAATTCTGGCCTACCAGCAGTGGGACTCATCATGGCATCAGCGCTCATGCCTGTTGTTGGCATGGTCGCATCCTCTGCTCTTTCTCCCGTCTCCTTGAGGAAACTCCGCTGCTCCTTCTTGATGGCTGAGTCGAGATGGGAGGCGTTGGAGACGGTCGCCTGCGCGGGCTTGGACTCTGAGACATAGTGACGGCGGATGCTCGAGACACGGGAAAAAGCAGATGAAGGGTATCGACGAGAGGCAATGCGCAGGGCCTGCCTCGCGACGGTGGGTGCAATGTTGGACATGGTGAGAATTGGAGTGTTGGGGTTGGGAGAGCAAATTGCCTCCCGAGGTATTAGAAGCTATGAAGTTTTAGCGCACGGATCGGCTGACTAAATGGCCCCCCAGCGTTCACGGCCACATCGTCCACTCGTCATGCATGGTTCATTGTTTGCCTGCACGACAAGATAGTCGTTCACGCGACCGCGCGCTGCTCTCAGCTTTTGGCCCTGGGTTTCTCGTGCACTAGCCGCAGCGGATCATTCACTCTTGGCGTGAAGTAATTGCACTCGTGCTCGTTTTCGCGCTCGGCGCTCCGCGACATCCGGCAGCCGTGGGCAGTTGGCTGGCATAGCCACAGGCGACGTCATCGACGATTCTAGCAGCCACGCCGGCGCCCGCATCGTTCGGCTGCTTCCTGCTGGCTTACATCTGCAGTCTCCACGGCGCCTCCTGATCCCTACTGTGTATCAATTCCCAGCAGACTTACAGAATTACCCCCACCATGAGTTGGAAAGGCCTAACAAAGACCGTCACCCGGGTACGACAGGCGCCCTCACACGGCCTTCGGGCATCAACACGTGCTAACATGATGGTTTAGGCGCCCCAAACCTTCAAGCAAAGATTCAACCTCGTACGTATTCTGCGAAGGCCTCCAGGGGCTCTCCCCTCTACGCGCCTGCTTCCGAGTACGATTGGGCCTTGCTAACAGAGCATGTAGGGCGAAATCACCAAGGACCCCATCTACACCGATGCCGAACGCCGCTTTCAGGAGCTGGAGAAGGAGACCAAGAAGCTCCATGACGAGTCCAAGAAGTATGCGCCTGTTGCGACACAGTCCTAGTTGCGACCCTGGCTAACATGCGACAGGTACTTCGAAGCCATAAATGGTGCGTAAACAACATGCAGCCCCACGCGATTCCGCCTAACCCACTTCGCAGGCATGCTCTCACATCAGATGGAGTTCTCGAAAGCGATCGCCGAAATCTACAAGCCCATCTCCGGCCGAATGTCAGATCCCGATTCATTCCTCGACGAAGGCAACACAGCAGGCATAGAAGCATGCGAACAGTACGAGACAGTCGTCAGGGAACTGCAGGAAACACTCAAGCCCGAACTTGAGATGATAGAGTCCCGGGTTATTCGCCCGGCGGACGAGCTACTAGTCATCATCAAGGCCGTACGGAAGATCGCCGCCAAGCGCGACCACAAGCAACTCGACTATGACAGACATCGCGCCGCATACAAGAAGCTCGAAGAGAAGAAGGACAAGACGTTAAAGGACGAGAAGGCCATGTACAAGGCCGAGAACGATGTGGAACAGGCTACGCAGGACTACAACTACTTCAATGATCTGCTAAAGGACGAGCTACCAAAACTGTTCACGCTGGAAAGGGAGTTCATCAAGCCGCTATTCCAGTCTTTCTACTACATGCAACTGAACGTCTTCTACACACTACACGAGCGCATGCAACGGCTCGACATTGGCTACTTCGATCTTACTCTGGACATCGAGGCTGCTTACCAGAAGAAGCGTGGCGACACACAGGAAGAAGCGGAGAAGATCTCCATCGTGAAGTTCAAGACTACAGGAGGGGCTCGTGTCGCTGGCGCACGTCCAGGCCAGTCAAAATACGCAACGAAAGCTCTGGAAGCCAAGGCAGGCCGAAGTTCGATATCGGAAGAGACGGAAACACCTCCTCCACCGTACTCTGCTGGGCCTTCTGCAGCTACTGGAGATGTCAAGTCCCCGACGCTATCAGCAGGTTCGTGGGGCTCTGCCGCCAAAGCCAAGGGCGCGCCTCCACCACCAAAGCCCAAGCCATCACGTCTCAGCGGTGTCCCGGCGACCGAAACCGTTACGGCTCTCTACGACTACGAGGCGCAAGCGGAAGGTGACCTAAGTTTCCTGACTGGCGACGTCATAGAAATCGTTTCGAGAACGCAGAACGATAACGAGTGGTGGATTGGAAAGGTACGGGGGAAGCAGGGACAATTCCCAGGTACGTACTTTCATTCGTGTGGGGAGGGAATATACTGATCACACTTCAGGAAACTACGTCAAACTGAATTAGGGATTCAGTCCCCCATCTCCCACCTTGCGGTTACGAGGCCACACATGTTGAAGAATGTGTCGCCAGTGTTGCGTTTACAGCATCGTTCGGGGTTTACGTTAGACTTCCGTGCTAGATTTAAGCGATCAGCACATGTATTTGCATTGTTCAGACTAATCTTCAATCCTATTCTGGGTACCAACAATTTCGATATCAGTTCTTCCATGTCGCGATGCCTCTGTCTGTATCTGGACTGCTAGTATACAATGCTGGAGTGGACTAGCGCGCAGTAGGCGACGATCTTTCCGCCGCACCCCGCATGACGTGTGCCGGAGACATGGAGCAGTGGAACCCCTGCTAACTCACGAACATCTTCCGGGTATCGTGAAGCAATCCTTCCAGGCCGCGGACTTCTACGAATCGAACAGCGACCAAGTCCAAGTCCTTTTGTATGCCATATTCATCATGCCCTACGAATCAATAATCACCTTCACGCTCGACACAATCTGTCCCTGGTACATCCACCCACCCTCCGCGCCACACCACCCGCTTAGACCAATCCCTCACTCTCCCACAGGACATACCTAGCCTTCATCCGCCTCTCCAAAGCCCTCTCCGCCTACCGCACCACCAACCCCTCTTCCCCAGCAACATTCACCCTCAAACTAGCACCCTACCAACTCTACCCCGACGCCACCCAAGAAGGCGTCAACAAATATGAATGGTACAAGAACGAAAAGTACGACGGCAGCGAAGACCGCATGGACAAGTATATGAATGTGATGCGTGATTTGGGTAAAGCAGAAGGGTTTGAGTTTGATTTTGCGGGTGGGGTCGTGGCGAATACGTTGCATGCGCATCGTGTGTTGCAGTGGTTGCAGAATAATAAAGGGGATGGTGCTGCGTTGGAAGCGGTAAAGGAGTTGTATACGCAGTATTTTGAGCGGCGCGCGCATCCTTCGAGTAGCGAAACGTTGGTTAAGGCGTGCACGGCGGCTGGGCTGGGTGAAGAGGAAGCGAAGAGGGTGGTAGAAGATAATGATGAGGAGTTGAGGGAGACGAAAGCGGCGATTCAGGAACAAGCCGGAAATGGGGTGGATAGCGTGCCGTATGTTGTTTTTGAGGGCAGGAAGAGGGACTTTACGTGCGTGGGGGCGAAGAGTGTGGCGGAGTATGAGAAGGTGCTTGGACAGGTTGCTAAGGAGTGTACGTGAGGGTTTGTGGTTGGCTTCCTCTCCCAAGCATAGTGAAGGGTCGTCGTCTCCATGATCGAAAGACTACGGCCACAGAAGCGACCAAGATGCAACTGTTTAAGTCACTGATTAGTATTGTGATCAATGTTGGAGATACCTAGTTACAGCGGATCTGCGTATCCCGTATTCGATTCGGCCCAGTTGGAGCTATGCTACGCTCGAACCAGGACGTTATGCGATTTCATGGGTAAACAATTCAGGAAAGACGCGAGGTGTTGGTCGAGAGGTGTTTCGCAGATACCGTCACGATGGATAGACCCGAAATATCGGAACCTTGAGAGCTCGCCTGTCCTCTTGCTATACTTGGCTTTTCTGCAATGCGTCCAATTATAGACTGTACATTCAAGGGCCTTTCCTTTCAACTCTACAAGCCCTTAAAAAATGCGCTGCGCAGCAGCTGTTCGTTGCTGCAAAAGCTAGACGCTGATTTTGGTAACCCATTTGTCTATCCAGACACTTGTGTTACTTCGTTTGCCAAGTATAACCCTACGTAGGTACCTGCGCCACATTTCCAGGCTACTGTGGAAACATAAACACTACACGATTTGCAGTGTGGAAACCGCTGCTCCGTTCCCGAAAGATGCTTCTTATATCCACAGCAGTAGAAAGACGGATTGGGTTGCACGTTAGCGTCGGATGCGGCCATCGTCCGCACACTAGCGGTGTTACCAGGCGGTCGATCCCTTCTATACGACCGTATACTCGCAGAACAGATGCCGAGAGGGTGGGTTTCAAGCGTTTTGATAAAATAACAGATCGTCACGACGTGTGAGCGTTGAACTGAGCAGTCGTGTTGTGCGTAGAGAGCACCTACGCAAAGTGCTCCCTAAACAAGTCTGCTACAGTAAGATGGTCCACACCACACCTGGGCACTGAGCACTTGCTGATGAAAAGGAGGAAGTGCAAAAAATTAGTTCAAGCAAAAGACCACGGGCTATGCCTAGTACCCGAAAATCTACTGCTTATTCACTGCGTCACATGGGGTGGTTATAGCCCTTACTGTGTACATCACTGCGTCACTACTACCGCGTTGAGGACTCTGCTTCGGCATCGACTCCAGTCTCTCACCAAGAATGCCTAGTATCTGAGTGGTAGGTACGCGAGGATGGCGAGCGATTTTGGAATTTGGTACATGGTCTTACAGGACGAATTATGTATGCTACATGTAGATCTCTATGCTGACTACTATTTTGACTACGCTCTGACAGGTCAGACAGGTTACATTTTCCACGTTGAGCTTCACTGATACACGGCTTCCACAACGTGCAACTTTCATTGGACCTGCGAGGGCAATGGTCCGAATTCTCCTCTTGATATTACGATGGGAAGGCCTAGTCCATGTAGATCGCGTACGATTTCGAGGTAGTGGGCAGCTTACTGGAGAGTAAGACGTAGGTCGCACGAAACTACATGCATGCCTCCCACCGATCATCGATTGCGAGAACTGCTGGGGTTACGAACACCTATAAAGGTAGGTGCTCGACTGCGAGATACTTAGATACCTCAGAACAACATCGTCTCATCCACCACTTCATCACACCATCGAACTATCCGACTACAACACAGAATCTACGCAAAACCGAAGTCATGCAGTATGTTGCGCATTCAACGCATACCAAGCGCATATCGCTGACTCAAGCCTAGATTCTCAGTAAACTCCCTTGCGATGGTACTCGCGACCGCAATCACCACCACAATGGCCGCTCCCACCAACAACGTTGCAGTAAGTAATTTTCAAGATGAAGCATCAGCAATCGAACCTCGATCTGACCCTTCACTTAGCCCCGCCAACTCGACGACGGCGTAACGCGTTGCAAAGTCGAAGCAGAAGCCTCCCACAGCTACGGTGGCGGCGGTCCCGGCCAAGCAATCATCAACACGACTAGTGGAGCACTCATCTGCTACGACGTCAACAACGAAAAAATCTACGTCAACACCGACGCCGATACGACCAACTTCCAAGGCAACACCAACACCATTTCCGCAGCGGATTGCCATACGCTTGGCGATGTCACGTTCAGGACGTCGTTCAACAGCGCGAGCAACTACTTTCAGATCTGCACGATTACCTATAACGGGGTGGATACTGAGGGTGTGGTTACCACGGATATTGATTCGGGGACGGTGAGTGTGTCGAGTACTTATTGCACTATCTACATTCCTTGCTAGATGGTAGCAATGATCGTTGGAAGGATGGTTGCGTGACAGTCATTACCTAGGTAGCAAAGATGAGATGGTAGCACTCAATTCGCTGTTGAACGAGAGATACAATGCCAAGTAATTACTGGTCCCACGGCTCAACCGTAGCGACTGTCTTTATTGAAGTAATCCGCTTTAATACGCCCGACCGCTAGAGAGAGATTGGGAGCACGGTTTCTCTGACTAGGAATGATATAAGCCACTTAGCCGCTCTTTCAACTGGTTTTCTCACACCACTAACAAAACGGCCTCCGTACTCGTAGACAAGTGCAAACAAAGCAACTAGTAAAGAAAATGACTGATCTAACTCCCCAATCCCCTGCGGCGCACACGGAATGAAGGAGCATTTACTCAGCGCTGCACCGTGATCCTTGAGAATAGTCCAAATCATGAGATGAAGATATAACGGAAGCACCAGTCTGTGACCAACGTGCATTACCTTAGACTTGTTGTTCATAGAAGCTATCTCTTGACCAAATGATTGATATATCTTCATTGCGGGGTGTATTGTGAGCACGATATGAAGGAACGGCCATAAACCGGCATCAAGCCCGGCGTTGTGCAAGCATGGCATGACCACGGAGTTTGTTATAACAGGGAGTAGTAGACCAATGGCGATGCACAGCTGGCGCCGCTCGATATTCTTCCGGGTGTCGATGTCCCTGTCTATCGCCTTCCAATGACATATCGCGACTTGGAAACATGCATGGGCAATGCCAACTCGTATCACCGCTAAAGATGCGCGGAAACACTGCAGCTGGGCATCGTCCATTTCCTGAAGAGTTTGATGTCCAGTGGAAGGGAAGGACTGACGTAGGATATCAATAGTGGCCCAATTCGTGTATAGCGCATAGCTCATGAAATGCAGGTTGTGCGTGTGATCGTTTCGTAAGATGGGATACCAGGACGTGATGAAAAGGATGACCCATGCTGCCCAAGTTCCACTGCCGTAGAATCCGCTGATTTGGGGGTAGTCGGGGGAGGATTCAGACATTTCGATGGATGCGTTAGACTGTTCCGGTGTTGCTATGCCTTCCAGGAAAAAGACGAAAGCCAGAGTTTACTATCGGTTTCGGGATCTCGTGAAGATGGATGAGAACGCGGCTTTAATTGCCGTAGTTTGATGTGGTTTGAGATGGTTCAATGACCAGCGCGAAGTAAGATTAGGCTGCAGTTCGAGCATAAGCGAGTGATAACAAGGTTGGTCGTCGGGATTCGGCAGGTGCGGTCGCGAGTGAGCCACCAATCTCTCAGATTTGCGTTGAAAAGCTCAAACTGTGGGAACGTAGATACTCGACATGCAAAAAATCGGGGGAGACGGTGATGTGGAGTAAACACAATAACATTCGCCAGCGGCGGTTGACCATGATGAAAACACGCTTGCGCTCAGCCACACTCGCCAAAGCGTGGGGGCTGAAAGACCTACACCCACCATTTGCGAATAGGGTTTGCGGACATAAGTCCTACACTAGCTGCCACCAATGATATGAGCCAGATGACAGGGCGTATAAGACCTTCGCGGTTGTAATTCCCTCGCCGTAATTTAATAGTGTGATTTAGACGTCGTGTTCAACTTGTCGTTTAGGTTATCGCATAAGTATCGGACGTGAGACATGAGAACATTCAGGCTGTGCGCACACAGGTATGAGCCAAAAGAGGGTATAGAAGCTTCATTTGGCGTACAAGAGCGTGGAGAAGCCACCACCGAACCAACAGCTGGCAGCAAGAAATCTCTGCATAAGTGTAGATAAAATGTGCGTATATCTCTTGAGCTACCTTACAGCTCGTTGCCAGATCGTCCACATACCTTGAACTGCTTCTCTTCCAATGCGAAAGATCTCATACCCAAACTCATACAAGAAAAGGCACAAAGCAACTACTAAAGAAAAGGCTTGGTCCCATTCCCCAATACCCTGCGGCGCACAAGGAATGAAATAACACTGTTCAGGCAAGCTAGCGAGGTAGAGTATCTGCCGATGTTGTCTCACACTAGCAGAAAGGTACATCTTTCTACTCAGAAAGTAGGAAAGACTAGACATAAGAAGGAAGGAAAGACTACACACCAGCATAGTGGCTGCATATAAATATAACAAGGGAAGCTCCCTTAACGTGAATTCCCACATGAATCTGCGCGGCTTCAAAACCTGACACGCGTTGTAGCCCACAAGCCAAAGGCCCGAAACACAACACGTCAATAACGCAATACGACTGGAATCAGACGCAGAAGAAAGCAGGATAGCATAACTCCCCATCGAAAGTGGAAGCACCGCTCCAGTACTCAAGATCAAGCAACGTCGCGCTTCTAACGAACGATTAGCTTGAGCAATACCCCCAAACTGTAGCCTGAGATAACCGAATAATAGCTGCGCAACGACTTGGTATACTCCAATCTGTATCACTGCGACTGAAGCGACAAAATTGCCAAGCCATGCCCAGTCTAGGTCTGAAAGATCGCGTTGGTTTGGTGATCCGGGCCGAAGACCGTGGCGAATAAGGTCAATCGCAGCCCAATTGGTATACATTGCGTATCCGATGAAGTGAAGGTTGTGCGTGTAGTCGCCTTGGAGGAGCGGTATCCACGATGCAAACATGGTAATGACCCACGCAGCCCAATTGCCAGGACCATATAAGCCGCTGACTTGCATTGACTCGGGCGCAGGTTGAATCGCTCTCGGAATGATCATCGCAGTGATCGTAGGGTGCGAATGACTGTGGTGACGGAAGGTATCGTGTTGAATAATTCGGAGCGTAGTGAGGTTGAAGACGTTCCTCCAAAAGCTCAAAGTAAAACGCGATGGTATTCAAAGTGACGGATTCTGTTTTCGGTATCTATCGATTCGGGATGACATGAGAAACCGAGAAGGAATCTGTGTACAAGCCCTGGTGATATATCCTGGCTTCTACGATGGTCGGAGTGTGTGGCGCAGCGCAAGCCACAGCTGGTAAGCGTGGCCGTAGGGGCAGTGCAAGCCCGTACGTCATTTCTTCCATCATTGGTACCTGTCATGGAGGATGAAGAGGATGGTTTGCGATGGTCAATTATTGGTTGACCCAGAAATGAATCGTAATGCAACTACTCCGTGTTGCAAGACGTATTTTTGTCTCTTCAACACCAAAGAAGGTCTTGTAAGGATAGCGACTGATACTAGGTAAGAGCAGATGTAGCAAGACTAGTCTAATCTCGATCAGCAGGCCTATACGAAATGGTGTTAGTCTGGCATAGGGCTGGAAACAAGGATAAAAGTAGCTGATTTGAGGAGCAACATACGTGTTGCAACATGGAGTATCTTAACATCCCCATCCATCACGGCCTAAGCCCCTCCGGCGACCCCTCCTCCCCATCCCCATCCTCCCGACCTGCCCCTCTCCTCCTCATCCTAAACCACCCCCCAACCCCGCCTCTCCCCCTCCCCTCTCCCTCCAACTCCCCATCCCTCTCCCCCATCCCCACAACAACCAACTGCTCCCCCTTCCTCTTAACAATCCACTCAACCGTCATATCCCTCTTCTGCGGCCCCTCCTGCGGCCTTCCCTGGAACAACCCATCCGACGGCGGAGAATGGTATCCTAGCACAAACAGTACAAGCGGCTCGCACAAATCCGTGATGAGTTTGATGCGCAGCAGCACGGCGAAGTAGATCAGGATGAAGATGTTGATGAGGAGAGTGAGAGCGAGGACAACAAGGAGAGCTTTTTGGTAGCTCTTTTCGCCGCCGGACATGTACTGTGCTACACGGACGGAAGCGTTGAAGTACTGCATTTGGGGGGTGTTGAAGTCGGAGGCGGAGGTGGGGGAGATGGGTTGGAAGGGGAAGTTTTGGGTTAGGTCTAGGACGGTGCATGTTGTCATACTCAAGAGCGCCTCTGCAGGACTCGGTAAGGTCTTGTTGAGTTTGGGTTCTGTGAGTTGGAGTTGGGTGAATATGCGTGCTGTTGAGGCGTCGCCGTCGAAGACTCCGTTGTTTAGACTGAGGGAGTTGAGGAGATTGAAGCCGAGGTCGCGCCAGCCGACTAGGGCTGTTCTGTCGTCGGTGGCACGGAGGGGTTGGATGGCGGAGTCGTCGCTGTGCTTTCCGTTTGCGTCGTCGCAGACGGCTTCGAGGCTTTGGCCGCCGGATGAGGCGTTGTAGCGTGTAGTGCAGGAAGTTGTGATACCAGCTTTCATGGAGCAGAGGAAGTAGTCTTTGGTCGTGTTATCGGGTGCTTTGCCGAGCAGGTAGACTTCTGGTCGGTCGCCGAGCTCGTACGGTACTTGAGTGTGGTTTGCGATCTACCCAATTAGTCTTTCGTCTTCCGATCAGGACAGACCCACTTACCGTGTTTCCTGCTTTCGGGTACTTGAGAAAGACTGTGTGACGTTAGTAAATGTCATTCATGCAGAGGATCGGACTTACTTGGTCTAGCACGCGAGTGATCTTCCGTCTCGTCCTTCCACCCAAATACATCATCAAGCACAGTTTTGTTGTTTGTATTGGTACCTTCTGGAAATCCTAGGATGGGCCACCAGTTGACTGACTTCGAGCCCTCTTCCATAGGAATTGCATTAGGCCAATTGGTATAGATAAGTGGGGCGAGCTCTTCCTCTTTGGCATTGACGCAAAGTGCATTGAGTGCGAAGCTGGCGACTGAAGCGTGAATAGAGTATGAGCCACCGTCATGGAGATCCTAGGATCGTTAGTACGGTATGAATGGGGCATACATGATCTACCTACTTCTGGCTGCAGCAAATCATTCTGGACATTGCGAGCTGCTGCCGGTATCCCTCGATGGGGGACGGCTATAGTGATGTTGTTGACTATACCCAGGTTAGCGAAGTAAGTCCAGAGAATTTTGGCCACGTACTTATCCTGCCTGCCTTTTCAGACTCAGTAGCGACATCATGATCATCAAGCCACGCGGTGGTGACAGTGACATTGTTGTCAAGCGACGCACTGATCGGCTTTCGTTCCAGAAGGCGCTCAGACATCCAA